CATATACATATACAGTAGTTACTATTATATTAAAGATTTACTACGTCAAAGATGATTGTTTTGAAATATTTCAAATTTATCTATAACTATATTTTAGAAACTTTCTTTTTCTTTTATTAACTTTGGAATTTTTTTAGGTGCTATTAAATTCGGCGATAAGCTAACTTTGGAGGAGTGTACAAGTCTTATACAATTATTGAAGAATATGAAGTTCCCCAATCGATGCGCCCATGGACGACCGACTATAATACCAGTGATAGAATTTTCGGAATTAGAAAGAAGGAGCACGAGGATTCCTAAGGTAAGCACTAAAATTTTTCCCTTCGATTTTATTATAGGAAATACAAATTTAAATGATTCATGAAAAAAAGACAGATCTTACTTCTTTTTCACTAATACAAGTTTATACATAAATGAATAAAAGCACAAAATTCGTCTTAAAAATCATGCTGCATAAATGTGTGTGTGTGAGTGCGTGCGCGCGCGCGCGCGCGTGTGTGTGTGTGTGTGTGTGTGTCAAACTAAAAGCGGTATGAGAACATACAAATGTTGTTTGTTTTATGACATAAGATTAATTTTGATATAAGATTAATATTGATATAGAATATAAGTTAGAGGTATTACTGAAATTTTTAATCATACAATTTATTTAAAAAATCTTAAAAAAGCTTTAATTCGGACTTCATCATGCGACAAAACCGGCGATGAGAATATCTTTGCCAAAATAGTTAAATCTGGTAGAAACAAGATTGACATCTTTTCCGCCCAATGATATCGGACAAACGTCATTCGGACGCAAGTAGAAGCATATTGTATAAAGAGCCATTTCTAACTCGGGTGAAAGACCGACGAGAAGAGTCGTAACTGAATGTTTCGTGTCAGGTACATTGAATGCCGAACGTATCTTGATAGCTTCTGCCTTCTGTGAAGATAAAGAAATTATGTAAGATTTATTAAATATAGAATAAATTGTGTACGTGAGCGTTACTTACGTCCGCTAGTTTGATATCCTTTATGTATCCGCGATAATCGAGATTTTTCTGCGTTTCCTGTTTGGCAAAGTAAATCCAATTTTGTGGCCCGATCATGTAGGAATCGAGCTTCTCTGCGAGGAACACTGCCTCAAAGCCAGAACTAGATGGCTCTCCTTCAACTCGTTGGAATTGTGAGAACCAAATACGTTTCAGAGTGTCTTTAAACTCATATTCGTCATTTGGAATAAATCCTTTGTCGGCCAGGTATTTCATTGCCGTTTTAAATACATCAGTCTCCATGAAGTTGTCGAGCAGCTCCGTTTCCTCCTTACGCTCGTCTGGCGTGACAGTCTCTTTCGTTTTAACGTCTATCGCGTAATTATCATATAACGGTAGCACGCTTTTAATCGTCGGGATTTCATACGCTTCCGGTTTGACGTCGAGTAGGCTGAAATTACATCAAGACAAGGTCAATGAAACTCTTAATGCGCGGAATTATTTTGTTCAATTATTTTCTCCAAGATGAGGATAGCAATTCTAACTACTTACGGCAGAGGAGCGTCATCCGCGGTACTATCTTCCTTCGTCTCACCCTGCAGATTTACAGTGATGTACTTATATGCGTTGTTCTTATCCGCGTCGAAAAGACTTTCTGACAGCTTCTTCACTTCGTCGTTAGAGATCGGGTAATTCGGTTGAGTGGGACTGCTTTCTTGCTGAGGACTGGGCGAATTAGCATTGCTAGGTGCGTTAGCTTCAGCTTTTTTATCCGCTTCCGGTGGCGGCTGAACCGGCGTTGCAGAGCTGGGTGGGTTGGAAGCGGCAGCGACGGCGGCAGGAGCACCGTTATTATTCGCAGATGCAACCGGTGTTTCCCCATTAGTTGGATTCGACTGATTATAATAATAATTATTGTACGTAATCTCGGTGCGGCTACCACCACCGGCGCCGTCACTGTTGCTGTATCCCGGACTTCTGCCATAGATGCCACCCGGTAACAATCTGTTCACAGCTGCGCTCACGCCCGCGCTCACACTGGAGTAAACCAGCGCTTCCTTGGCCAGCTGGCCGATACCAGGTCGGCTTGGTTGCAGGACGGTGAGTGCCGGCGCTTGTGCGATAGCCGGTTGAACGTAGGATGGCTGGGCGTAGGACGGTTGACCGAATGATTGCTGTCCACCGAAACCACCGTAGGACTGCCCACCGTATGGACTGTAGGCTGGTGGCGCGTTATGGTGCATAGACGGATTGTAAGCCTGGCCATACGGTGAGTGCCCACCGTAACCGGGATACGAAGGATTGGCATTGTAGGACGGGTAGCCCTGGTTGTAACCCGTGCCGCCATAAGGATTGCTGGCGGGCTGTCGAGGATATCCGCCTAGAAATCGTAGAAAAATTAGAATTATAAATTCTATGAAAATTACAATCTTTATGCAATTATACGAAGAGACGCAGCACAGATTCTCAAAGGGACGCCCTGTGAAGACTCTCTACGTTTTAAGAATGTTTCCAGAACATCCCTTAAATAAAAAGTGCTGTTCGGGAATTAATATTTTATAAGGAGACTTTAAATCTTAATACAAATGAGATTTTAAATTTTAAATCAAGATTTTACAAGGAGAAATATTGCAACTTTAACTTCAAAAAATATTTTATTATAATTTTAGCAATTTTAATAGCTCTCATATTGCAAAAATACAGAGATTTTATTCTCGAGTGTCGAGATTTAAATTATCGATACATTAATTTCATTCCCTATTTTAAGATAAAGAACAATTAATATACCCGATGGAGTATATGGTGGTGCGTTTGCAGCCGGATATCCTGATTGCACATTCGTCGCGCTAGTCTTGGAAGCTTGTTCAGATACTGGAGGTTTGACATTGTTGGTCCCGGAACTCCCGGATGCTTTATTGTTAGCATTCTGTGGTACGTTCCATCCTATTTTACTCGGATTTGAGCCTGCATAATGGGGTTCGTGATATTATTAGAGACGAATGAAACATGCGAAGCCGTAGAAGGTTATTACCTATATGAAGCAGTGACTCATTGAATTTGTAAGAGATCTGATGCGTAGATACATAAATATTTGTAAACTGCGCAATTTCACGTTAAACAGTTATAGAAAAGTATCTTAAATGATGATTATAGCTTTTCCGAATCGGCAATACGGAGTTTTCTTTGCTAACTGTACATATATATATATATATATATATATACATATAATGCAATATAATGCAATATATTAGAAGCACTAACGAAAGCAATCTCATGAGTATTTAAAAAATAATAATTAATGTTATAATTATGCAATAGAGATATAACAATATTAATAAAACGTATAAATGATAATAATAATAATAATAATAATAATAA